GCTTGGGTATACGTGTTGAATGGCACGCGAGCAGGTAAGAGTGAACAGTCTTAGAAGGACAGCTGCTATTGTTGTTGCTGCTGTTGCTGCTGTTGTGGTTGTGGTTGTTGCTGTTATTGTTGTTGCTGCTGTTGTTGTTGCTGCTGTTGTTGTTGTTGCTGGTGCTGGTGCTGGTGCTGCTGCTGTTGTTGTTGTTGCTGCTGCTGTTGTTATTGTTGTTGTTGTTGTTGCTGCTGCTGCTGCTGCTGTTGTTGTTGTTGTTGTTGTTGTTGTTGTTGTTGTTGTTGTTGTTGTTGTTGTTGTTGTTGTTGTTCGGGGGCCAGGGGCGCAATCGGAGGCTTAGTACTTTCCCACGTACAATACGCTAAAAGCCCCAGGAGGGGTACTTCACGCGAGGAGCACAAGAAGAGAACCGGAGGGAGGGGATGAACAATAATTACTTTCTACAGAAATGAAAATTCAACAACAACAAAACGCAACAACCACAATAATCCGCGCAACGGAATCACACTTCATCCGCGCACACCCAAAGACTATGAATGGCCGCTCGCATAATGTAACTACGGCGGCATCCGTCTGGATGAATTCGCCGGTGTAGCAAGAACTGCGGTCCCAACAGGGCCACTGCGACCGGCACGTGGCCGTTGTGGTCGTACCTCTGCTGGAGGATGAGGCCGACCAGCGCGGCGCCCCACCTGAAGATGTAATCGTTGTGTTTCCTCAGGCGGCGCGTTCCCGTCGGCCAGGAGAGCCTCCTCTTCCGTGCGTCCTGGGGCTGGGCGTCAGGCCGCAGCGCCGCCAGGGCCAGACAGTCGCACTGCCATGACCGCTCGGCCCAGTCACTCAGACTCTTTCTGTGTGGTGGAGGCACACTTTCCAGCCTCTGGCGGCCATCGCCACGCCCCCGGACCGGCAGAGAATTCCTCGGGGTGAGCAGCCGACCCTGGGGGAACCTTCGGGGCCTCTGGGGGACCCGTTTGGCGCCGGCAACAGAGGGGCAGGGGGAGGAGGGAAGGCGTCTTAAAAAAAGGAATCTGCTCCTCAGAACGCGCCGGCCTTCCCTCTGCAGACAGGACCCGCGCCTGCCAAGAAGCATGGGTGCTCCTGAAGAAGCCTCCCCCTCCCCCCTCCCCCCGCCCCCCTCTGCGCGCGGCCGACCCGTGCAAAGAAACCCAAGGACATCGGACGTCGGGGGCGGCCAAGAGGGGGGCGTCCAAGAGGGGGGGGCGCAAATCATGGCCGGCGGCATGTGCGCGGCCTAGGGGGGGGGGGGCCAGGAACGTAATGAAATAAGAAGAGGCGCCATGAAATCAGAGGAAATCTCATGGCCCACGCCATGATACCCCCCCCCCTAGTCATCACTCCCCTCTTCGCCGCCCCCGAGGACGCCCAGGGGCCTCGGTGCCCCGGGATCCCTGCCCCCAGCTCGGGGCGCGGTGCCGGTCGTTCTCTCTTCGGCCGGCCTGCCGGCTTCCGAGGTGCCTCTGCTCTCTCCGCCGCCCCCCGCTGCCTCTTCGCGCTCCCGCTCCGCATGCTGCTCTGGGGCAGGCAGCGCAACTCACACGCGAGCGAGCGGACGAGGAGGAGGAGGAGGAGGAGGAGGAAGAGGAGGTGGAGGAGGAAGAGGAAGCGGAGGTGGAGGAGGAGGAGGAGGAGGAGGAGGAGGAGGAGGAGGAGGAGGAGGAGGAGGGAGGGGGAGGAGGATGGGGAGCAGAGGAGGATGAGGACGGGGGAGCAGGAAAAGGGGGGGGTGATGAGGCGGCGGAGGAAGAGGAGTGGCTCGCGCGCTTTCCAGCACCCCAGTCGACTGCTTCCCCGAAGCCTAACGGCTAAAGCCTGACTGCCGATCCTACAGCGACTGAGTCAAGCGACTCCCCAAGATCGCTGCGAGCCAGCTGCCCACAAGCCATACAGAACATCAAATTCGCCCCCGCTGACGTGAACCGCCGACCGTCAGCGTGGCGCCTCACAGCCCAGCGTGGGCGGAGCTCAGCCCCGTGCCGCCTCCGGGGAAAACACAAGGTAATTACCGATGCTGCTACTCTTCGGACCTCTCCCGGGGCGCGTTCTGACCAAGACTTCAAAACGAACCCGTGCAGACGAAGGTTTCCCGGGAGGCCCAAAAAGACGCAAACGAGGGATGGGGGTAGCGGTGTCGGTGCCTTCTCCTCCTCCGAGCCTCAAGCAGCGTGGCCTTGGCCTTGTTCACCAGCCCGTCGGCCGCCAGCAGCGCCTGGAGGAGCTTGTCCGGGCTGAAGCCCCTGCCCGCCAGCTCGCCGCGGGAGGCCAGGTTGCGCAGGGCGCCCTCCATGCCCTTGCGCACGGCCGTCTTGAAGGCCTCGCTGCCCTCCAGCGCCTCGGCCGCCGCCTCGGGCTCCCCGGCGCCGCTCTCCCCGCGCGCGCTGGCGGTGCCATCGCCCGCCGCGGTCTTCGCCGGGCGCCCGCGGCGCTGCCTCTTCGCCAGCGCCTCGCCGGCGACGCGCTTCTCCGTCTCCTTGTTCTTCTCCTGGGGCAGTGCCAAGGGGGGTCACCACTCAGGGGGTTCGCCGCTTCCTCGAAGAGGCGCCCTCGCCTCGAGGGAGGTGGGGCCCCCAAGAGCACCCCACGGCCTCCCGAGACGATCCCCCCCAACGTCCGAAAACCTCCTGGGGCTTCGATCCTGGCGCCTCGACTTCCAGGAGGGGCTGGTGACCCCCTGGTGGTGACCCGTGTAGCTGAGGCATTACACGTTTTGTGTATGACCGCCACTCTTTTACGGCTTCCATCACACAACAACGTGTGATGATTTTGATATGGTTACCCGTTCCCTATGGCTGCCAGATGTCATCAGCAAGTGTGGTGTCATATGAACATGCACGTATGTACGCATCTACAAATTGTGTGGCTACCAGTTGCCATCAACACAACGTGTGAAGCCCCATCTTGGCACTGACCGTTGGCGGCGCGCACAAGGGGGCAGGGAAGGGGAACGGCTTCTCAGAAAGAGGCTGCTTCGTAGAAGGCGCCGGCCCTACATCTACATACAAGGCCCGCGCCTTCGAAGACGCAGGGGTGCTCCTAAGAAGCCTTCCCCCCTCCCCTTGTTACCCTCTGCGCGTGGCCGAATCTTGGCACTGCCCGTCTCCTCGGAAGTCTGCGCCGTCTCCCCCGCGGCGCGCTTCTGTTTGGCGGCTGGCGTCGTCGGCGACGCCCCCTTGGCCCCCGCGCCACTGCCCTTCCTCCCCGCGCCCGCGGGCGCCTCCTCGAGCGCCTCCGCGGGCGCTGCAACCGAGGTCTCCACGGCTGCCGCCTCGGGCCTCGCCGCGGCCTGGCCTTCCGCGCTGCTGGCCGCCGGCTTGCGCCCCCGCCTGGCCGGCGGCTGGGCCTTCGGTCTGGCCGCCGCCTCGGCCTCTGGCGCGGCCGGGCCGTCGGGCGCGGCCTCGGCCGCCGGCGCGGCGGGCGCCGCCGTGCGTCCCCGCTTGGCCGGGGGCTCGGCGTCGACCTCGGCGTCTGGCTCGGCGTCCTGCTTCTCGGGCTGGGCCTCGGGGTCTCCAGAGTGCGCGCCTTCCGGCTCGAGTTGGCGCGGCGGAGCAGGCCGTCAACCACCCGACGTGTCTGTAAGGGGCCTGCGGTCATCCCTCCAGTACGCCAGAGGCTGAGCGAGCTTTGGACGATTGCAGGAATCACATCGGCCCTATGTGCGTTGGTGGTTGAGGGCGCCCGCCCTTTCAGACCCCCCTCTCCACGCCGCAAGACCCCCTCCCGCCTAGCAAAACCTCCTGGAGGCCCGCTCGGGGGCCTCCTGGGGACTCTTCGGGGCCTCTGGAAAGCTTCTTGGACGGCTCTTGGGGGCCTCCATCTGGGGGCGTCCTGGGGGCGTCCTGGGGCCTCCATCTGGTGGCGTCCTGGGGCCTCCGTCTGGGGGCTTTCCCCCGTTGGCCTTTTCAACATTTGGAGCGGCTTGGTGACCTCTTGGGCCTCCTTTGGGGCCCTCTTGGGGGCCTCTGGGGCCGTCTTGGGCGCCTCCTGGGGCCGTCTCGAGGCTCAGGGTCCCCTTGATGCCATCTTGACCTCAAGAGCCCTTCAGGGACGAAAAGGAGAGCACACAACCCTCATTGCCTTTCTGAATGGGGATCGAAGAATTTTGGCGCCTCGGGGCGTGATGAACGCACTCACTGCGGTCAGGAGCCTTTGCTCAGCACGTCGTGGCGGCGGCCCTGGCGACGCGCTGTTCCCTGCGAGCGGACAGCGTGTCGCTCCGCTCCGCGGGGCGGGAGGCCGGGAGAGGCTCGGACCGTTGGCCCCTCAAGTCTGGGACGTGGACAACTTGTGGCGCCGAAGCGTGGTGTCGCAGAACCGGCGGCAGGACTTTTTGGTCTGCGGGTCAAGAGCGAGCCTCTTCCGGTTAAGAGCTAGGCGGGCCGCGCAAAGCACTAATTGGGGAGACAAGGCGCGGGCGGGCGAGGCTTCAGGCGGCCGGAGGGCGCGGGGTGCAGGCGGTGCTGAAGAACTTGCACAGGAAAAGGTACACCTTGGACAGGAGCACCGGCGGCGGGACACGCCAGGCAGAAAATCCTGACCGTACCCTCTGGTTCCCAGCCCTGCCTCGATGGTAGACCCCACCTGGCACTCCTGGAGGGACCAACCACATGCCACAAACGTGAACCTTCTTGGAGGTCCGCACGGGTTTCTTGGATCGGCGCTGGGCCCTCCTCTCTGGCGCGCGGAGCGCGCCGCCAGGGGGCTCCAACGCCGATCCGAAAAACCCGCGCAGATCTTCGACGCATCTTCGCGGACCTCCACAGGCGGTGGTGGATACGGACATACTCGGGCTCCCCGGGGGCCCAGACATATCCGTATCCACCGCCCGCTGGGTACCCAGGACGTCGGTTCCCAGGCGGTGCGGACAAATCCACGCCTCGCCTCAGAGTGGGAGCGTCGGCAGCGCGGCGTGTGGGCGGCGAGGGGGGCGACCCTCTCTTCTCCCCGAGCGCCTCGGGCTTCTCCCCGAGCTCGGCGTCCTGCGCGGCCGACCCCGCGGGGCTCTCCCCGCACCTGCCGACCGAAGCCTTGCGCCCACGCTTGGCCGGCACCTTTCGACTACACGCAACTGGCCATCGCTCGGACGTCCATTCCCTGAGTTTTTCTCGGCTTCGTGCGTGTTTTTTTCGGCAAACGATCAAGGATGGAGCGCGCAAGGCGCTGCTATCGCATCGGGCCCGCACCAGACCTAGACCACCGTCGTCATGATTTTTGTCATCACGTCGACTCCAGAGGTCGGGATCCGTTTTTTATGCCGAGCCGTTTTTTGACGGCCTCGAGGCCTGGTAAGGGCCCCCAGGAGCCGAAAACAATGGATTACACCTGAGAAAGCCCCAATTTGTGGATGATTTGGAAATTGGTGATATGGATCTTGAGATCGATTGTGAGATCGATAATGGAATCGATGGAGAACGATTGTAAGGTCGATCGTGAGACCGAGAGTGCAATCGATTCAATGAGATCGATGAGGAGATCGATCGCGAGATCGCTCGTGCGATCTCTAGTGAGATCGATGGTGAGATCGATGGAGAGGTGGGTACTGAGATCGATGGTGAGACCAAGCGATAAAAAGATCGACCAGGAACCCGGGAACCCGGGAACCCGCCGCCCACCGAAATCGGCCCAATACCGAGAACCGGGAACTGGGGAACCCGGAACCGGGAACCCGGGAACCCAACGTGCGACCAAAATCGGCGGGAAACTTTCGCCAAATCCTTCAACTTCCGCGAGGACCCCCTCAGTGCGAGCACTGATTGGGGAAGAACCTCCCGTCGTGATCTTTTCATGACTCGAGGGGGTCTGGGAAGGCCACTCCAGCGAAAAGTCAATCTTACGTGCAATCGAACCTTGGCCTGCGGCTCGGCCTTCGCCTCGGCTCCCGGTTTGTCTTCCTTTGGTTGACTCAAATGGGGGTCCAACTGAAAGGGGGTGGTGCAGTAGATTTTGGGCAATCGTATTGCACATGTCTTGCGCCGAATAGTTGTTTTGCATTGTCTTGCGTCAGCTGTGCTGCATGCGAAAATCCAGAAACACATGTGTGCACTGGAATGTATTGCACGCCCCAGCTCTTGCAGCCCCAAACATGTATTGTACCAGATCTATCGCACCGCCCTCTTTTCGCTGGACCCCCCTTGGCGTCAACCAGAACCTTGGCCTGCGGCTCGGCCTTCGCCTCGGCTCCCGGCTTGCCTTCCGCCTCGGGCTCCGCCGTGGCCTCGGCGTCCCCCTCCGCGGGGCCCTCCTCCTGATCCTCCGCGCTGCCTCCGGCCTGCCCGCCCGCCGCCGCCCCGCGCCCCCGCCTGGCCGGTGTCTTGGCCTTCGGCTTGGCGCTCGCCTTGGCCTGCGGCTCGGCCTTCGCCTCGGCTCCCGGCTTGCCTTCCGCCTCGGGCCCCGCCGCGGCCTCGGCGTCCCGCTCCGCCGGGCCCTCCCGTGGCCCCTCCGCGCTGCCTCCGGCGACCTGGGCGGCCGACTCCGCGGGACTCTCCCCGCGCCTGCCGACCGACGCCTTGCGCCCCCGCTTGGCCGGCACCTTGGCCTGCGGCTCGGCCTTCGCCTCGGCTCCCGGCTTGCCTGGAGGCCTCCTAGATGGGGTCCGAGCAGATGGGGTCGGAGGATCGCGCCGCATCGCCGATGCATCGCCAACACGTCGGCGAGATGCATCGGCGATGCACAGGCGGTGTCTGCCACGCGTCGGCGCCATCGGCGAGGGACAGCTCTGGCCCTCCACATCGAGGCGCATCGCCGATGCATCGGCGATGCGGAGCGATCCTTCGACCCCACCTGCTCGGGCCCCATCTGAGGGGCCCTGGCTTGCCTTCCGCCTCGGGCCCCGCCGCGGCCTCGGCGCCCCGCTCCGCGGAGCCCTCCTCCGGCCCCTCCGCGCCGCCTCCGGCCTGCCCGCCCGCCGCCGCCCCGCGCCCCCGCCTGGCCGGCGCCCTGGCCTTCGGCTTGGCGCTCGCCTCGGACGAGGACACTTTCGGACGAAGATGAACCGAGAATCTCGGAGATCCGACTTTGTCTGATGCTCATGCTCGTGCTCATGCTCCATCCTCCTCCTCCTCCTGCCTCGGCCTCCTCCTCTTCTCGCCCCCTCCATCCAGGTAAGGCGAAGCCAGGACGAGGACAAATTCGGATGAGGATAAACCGAGAATCTCTGAGAGCCGGCGGCTCTGGAGGATGCATGGGGCGTCGCGGCCTTCTCAGAGCGTTCGGAAACGCTCTGGAACGGATTTACCCTCGTCCTAGCTTCGTCCGACCTTCTCCTCGCGCCCCTCCGGTGGCAACTCATGGGAGCCGCCAATGCCATCTTGCTGGCATCATGGGGGCCGCCCGTGCCATCGTGCTGGTGCTCTCGCGAACCGACGCGAAGCGACGACGATTGACGCTAATCGACGCTAGATCGACGCCAAATCGGCGCTTTCTCCTCGACTGCCAGACGCTACCGCCCGCTGGTGCACTCGAAAAATCGGCATGGCGAGGGCATGCGATGCTCCCATGACTTGCTGTTGAGCTCCCCTGCTCGGCGCGGGCCTCGGCAGCTGGTCCCGGGGGGCCCTCCTCTGGCTTCTCCGCGGGCTCGGCGCCGTGCGCGCTCGCCGCGGCCTTGCGGCCCCGCTTGCCTGGTGGCTTGGCCTTCGCCTCCTCCTCCAGCTCGGCCTTGGCGTCTGGCTTGGCATCCTGCTCGATGGGAGCCTCGGTGGGTCGCTCCGCGGCGCTCTTCTCTGGCGCCTCCGTGGATGTAGCGGCCTGCCCGCTCGCCGCCGCCTTGCGCTCAAGCTTTGCTGGCTTCTTGGCCTCCGGCTCGGCCTCCAGCCTGGCCTCCACCTCGGCACCCCGTTCCGAAGGAGCCACAACGGCTGGCACTGCAGGGCCCGCCTCCGGCCTCTCTGCGCACTTGGCACGCAGGCGGAAGCGCCTGTCGGGGATCTTCTGACCGGGGTCAATCCAGACCCGGGTCAGCCAAGCCTTGCAGAATCCTGCAAGATCCTGCGCCCAAACCCGGGTCAATGCGAAGGGTCCTGCAAAATCCCGCAGGATCCTGCACCCAAGCCCGGGTCAATGCGACACTGGCCATGCAGGATCCTGCAAGATCCGGCGCCCTGGCTGACCCCCGTTTGCACTGACCCCCGTCTCTTGAGCCCCGAGCCTGGCTGGCGGCTTGGCCTCCGGCGCGGCCTGCGCTTGAGCTGCTGGCTCGGCCTCGTCGGCGTGGCCGCCCAGCGCTGCACGCTCGGCCGCCTCCTCCGGGGCCTGCGCTGGCGCCCCGGCAGCGTCGTGCGCGGCAGGGCCCCTCTTGGGGGCCGCCTTGGCCGAGGCGGAGGGCCCCGCGGGGCGCAGGCTCGCTGCCTTCAGCTTGGCCAGGCCGCCCTGGGCGAAGTACACCTGGTAGAGCTCGCTCTCGTGCGCGTAGCCCAGCACCGTCCCCAGGCGGCCGTTGAGCGCCCGGTCCTTCTTGGACCTGAGGCCTCGCACCTCCACCCTGGCGCCGATGTCGATCGCCAGCCTCTCTGTTTCGGTTTGCTTGTGTCGTTGTTCCTCGTTCCCCGACCTCTGCTTGCACTTGGGGGTTCTTACTTGTCAGACCCAACGAGTTGGATGGGTCAGCCGAAGTTTTGCCCGTGGGCGCCTCGTGCGCTGGGCGGCCGCATTGCTTGCACCACATATCTTTTCTCACATGGCTTGAGCCACATAACTTGCACCACATAGCTGAACAAATATGACACCACATAACTAGCACTAGCACCACATATAACTATTTATTAAGCAAGTATTTTGCACCACGCAGCTTGCACCACGCGGTTGACTGATATCCGCAGTGCAACAGCTTACTGTGGGGTCCACGCTGGCAAACATGCAACGATATAGGAAACGACGCCGACCTCTTCGTGTTGACGGGCAGCAGGCGCACGAATCTGCCGGCCACGCTCACCTCCACGCGGCCGTTGGCGTTGGCGTGCTTGGTCACGATGCCGAACCGCCCGTTCAGCCCCGCGCCCTCCGCCGAGGCCAGCCCGGCGAGGAGCGGGCCATGCCAGGGGGGGGTCACCAATGAGGGGGGTGCGAGCTCCTTCATACATATCTTTGGTATCATCCATTGCTACTGTTGTTTCTTTACCTATCCATCGTACTACGCATATTCGCAAACAAAATATGAAACACATTCGCCGGCCCAACGGGCCAGAGGCGAGCTAGGATCTCCGGTAGCAGGTTAACAATATTTGTAGTTCGCGCGCGCGTGGCGGCCCCTGGGTACCCCCGGACGAGAAGTACCTCGGCTGGTCCGACCCAGAGATGTTTTTCCCTTCTGGGCGCGGCTTTCAGGCGCCCAGCGCGCTCCTAGAGGGCCCCAAGAATCGCCAAGACGGTCCAAGAGGGCTCCGGGTCGCCGACCGATCGGTCCAAGACGCCCAAGATAGCATCCAACGGCCGCAGACGCCCGCAAGACGCCCAAAGAGGCCTCAAAGAAGCGTCTCAAGAGGGTCCCAGAAGGCAAACAACATCGATTTCCCATGGGTTTTTGAAAGATTTTGGCGTTCTCGTCTGTTCGGCTTTCCAGCGCTCCAACACGGCCCAAGACGGCCCAAGAAGCTTCCAAGAGGGCCCCAAGACGGCCCAAGATGGCCCCAAGACTGCCCGAGATGGCCCAAGAGGACCCCAAGAGAGGCCCAAGACGGGGATCAGGAACCGAAAAGTCCAGCCTTCAGCCCCAAGAGGCCCCACGGAGGCCCCCCGGAGGCCCCAACACGGCCCCCAAGAGCCTCACAACTGTCTCCCAAAGACCCCCAAGAGGCCCCAACACGGCCACCAAGCGGCGAGGCAATATGGGCTGGCGGAATGAGCGAAGCGATCCGCCGCCCCACCAGGTACAGCGTGTGAGATCCACAGCATGGTCTTCAATAGTGTTTTGTATAAGTCTTCTCTCCAGCGCGCGTTTCATACCTACCCCTGCCTCTGAGCCCTCGCAACCCCTCTTAAGGTCCTCCCCGCACCTCGCTCATTTCGCCGGCCCGGGGGCCCCGGCTGCGGCCAGGGCGTTTTCTTGCCATTTCCGTCCCAAGACGACCGCCCTTTCACGTGCTAGCCTTCCAAGCGCCGTCAGGCGCTCTCAGAGACCTCTCCAGGAACCCACTGGGCCGGCTTTTCGGGCCTCCTGAAGCTCTCCTGGGCTCATTTTCACTCTCCTTCAAGCCACTTTGAGCCGTTTCAGATGCCTTCCACCTCTTTTCGAGCCACAAACACCAGAACACCCCAACAAGCAAAAACATCGTGAACACACATAGGATTTTGATGATTCTGGCCTTCTCGCACTTCTCCTTGCGCCTCTCTCGGAGCTCCCGTGCATCTCCGCTGGCTCTTGCAGCCATCTTAGAACCCGGTCATGCTCTCTACGACCGTCCTGACAGCCTCTCGGACCCATCTTGGGCCGTCTGGCCGCCTTCTTGGCACCTTATTTCGCCCATCTGGGGCGCCCCCTCAGAGCCTCCAGGGGCTCTTCCGGGAGCCGCAAACCAACCCCTCTGCCTCTTTTCATCGTTCACCCCAAATCGCCGCACTTGACCCGTTCCGGTTCCTTTGTGGGCCCCTCCGGAGGTCCCCCATGGACGAAGCTGACGGTGTTTTTGGGCTTCTCCAGCCTCTCTGCAGCAGTCCTAGCCTCAGGGTCCTGTGAAAGACACTCCTCGGCGCGCTTTCTGGGACAAACCCGACGTTTTTCTTTGCTGTTTTTCCTCCAGCCTCTCTGCGGCCGTCCTGGCCTCAGGGTCATACGACACAGAGCTCGCTGCTTTCAGTTCCTCCAGCTTCTCTGCGGCCGTCCTGGGCTCAGGGTCACACGACAGAGAGCTCGCTGAGGAACCCAATGTCCTCTCCATAGAGCCCCACGAGGCCTCCAAGCGGAAGCACCAGCACCAGGACCAGAACATCGCCTATTCGCGCGCGCGGAGCGGCCGCCGCTCCCACAGAGTCTCCAGGATCCAAAAATGATGGGGCGGCGGTGTCTGCCCCCTCAGGGGCGTTCGTTTATATAAACATTGAATTTGCTCCCTGGACCCTCTCAGGATTCCCAGAGGCGCCCCAACCCGTCCAGCGCCTCGAGCTTCTATCCCCCCTCCTCCTCGAAGCTCGATTTCCAGGAGGCGCTACCCGAGATGCGGCTGGCTGGGCTGACCTCCTCGTGCCGAGCCCCTGCCTGACGCCGGGTGGTTTCAAGACCGAGACGAGCATCGCCATGAGCCATCACCACCCAACATCAACAACAGCAACATCTCCATCATCGTCAGAAGCATCCCTGTCATCCTCAACATCAACATCAGCATCAACATCAACATCAACATCATCATCAACATCATCATCATCACCATCATCACATTCATCATCATCATCATCATCATCATCATCATCATCATCATCATCATCATCGTCCTCATCCTCATCCTCCTCCTCATCATCATCATCATCATCATCAACCGTTCTTCAGTATATATCAGCATCGTCGTCGTCATCATCACCACCATCATCATAACCATCATCGTCGTCATCATCGCCATCACCACCATCATCAGCATCAGCACCAGCATCAGCACCAGCACCAGCATCAGCACCCACATCAGCATCAGCATCAGCATCAGCAGCAGCGTCATCATCATCACCATCATCATCATCACCATCATCATCATCATCACCATCACCATCAGCATCACCATCACCATCACCATCACCATCACCATCATCATCATCATCATCATCATCATCATCATCATCATCATCATCATCAGCATCATAATCACCAACTTCATCGTCATCAATCACATCACATCACCACCACCACCAACAACAACAACAACACATCTTACCAACAACAAGACCATCACCCACGCCCTCCGCGCCCCCTGCCGACGACCGCCCTTTCTTGCCATCGCTCGGACGTCCATTCCCCGTACATTTTTCGACTTCGTGCTCGTACTTTTTCGCAGGATGATCCGAGATGCTCCTCGATGGCCCTCGCCGAAGAAGAAATGCATACGTCCGAGCGATGCCAAGCTGCCGACGACCGCCCCGTTGGCACTGCCCGAGCTGAGCACGGAGTCCCCGACGCCCGGCACTGGCGCGGCCGCTTCCACGAGCGCGCCAGCACTGGCGGCCATCGCCTGGCTCCGCGGGGTCTTCGAGCGGGCGACTCGCAGCGGCCAAGGGGTGGCTATGGACTGCCGAGCGGCTTGGGCCCAAATAGCTGGGGCGCCGCCGCCGAGAGGCGCCGACGACGACGCCGCCGCCGATGACGCAGTCGACGCCGACGACGACGACGGCGACGACGGCGACGACGCTGACGACGACGCCGACTCCTACGACGACGACGCCGCCGATGCCGACGACGACCGACGACGCCGCCGACGCCGACGACGCCGACGCCGACGCTGACCGACGACGACGCCGACGACGACGCAGACGACGCCGCGAGGCCAATACGACACCGTGCCCGCCACAATCGCCTGTCGGGGAGGGCGAGGCGGCCGGCCGCGGGGGAGCCGGGCAGGTGGCAGGCGGCACGCTCCGAGGGCTTCCAGGAGGCGGGCCAGGGGTTCTGCCGCAGAGCCCCCACGAGGGGCAACAGTCACTCTCACATCCAGTCGCTATCGCCGTTGCCAGCACACTCTCCTCCTCCTCCTCGTCCTCGTCCTCGTCCTCCTCCTCCTCCTCCTCCTCCTCCTCCCGCCTGCACAGAAGGCGCTGCCAATGCCGTCGCCTGAGCTCGGCTCGGCGGAGGCGGGCTTGGGGGGTGGGGGGCTGCTGGGCACTCGGGGAGGCCCTCTGGACTTCGCAGGTCTCCAACCCCCGACGCCATGGTGGGCGTTTTTTATTCGGCGTTTCGATATTGGGCGGAAGGGGGGGGGGAAGGGGGGGTCTGGCTCCAGACCTCTGCTTAGTGCGACTGCTTGGAACCGTGCGTCCTATGGGGGAGGGACCCCACCTGCTCGAAACAGGCGCCCCAAACAGCCAAGATCTACTCCAAGGGTGGGGGGGGGGGAGGGAGGGGTGCGAGGGCCCGCGCCGATCGGCAAAACAAGGAATAACAAATGATCACATCACGTCGGCCACCACAAATTTCGACCCATCCCCAGGACCGGCTTTCTCATTCGCGGACAACCCTCCGTAGCCATTTTGGCTCAAGTTCGAAACCTTGCCGCGAGGCTTCGAGCTTGTCCGCAGCCGTGCGGCAGGCTCGGACGGTTCTGGCGTGTGTGCTGCCCACCGAGCCGCACGGGCGCGCCATGGGATATCTCGTCTGTCTCGTCTGTCGCGATGCTGGCAAGACTTCGTGGATCCCCGACACCAACCCCCGCCAGAAATGTAAGTTCTGCAGTGCTCCTTTTCCTGGCCGCTCCAAAGGACAGGTCCCAGGAAAGCATGGTCGCAAAGGCGACAAGGACGGCAAAGGCAGGAGCAAAGGCAGTGGCAGTGAGCGTGTCTTGTCTCCTCCCCGTGCTCGTTTCCACGATCGTCATGTTGATGACGGTAATGCCACTCCCCCAGTTCGGTCTTTGGATGAACGTCTTCAGGCTCCATTGGATGAGGAAGTGCAGGATAGATTCGGGTATGACTCTGGCGACGATGGTCTTGGCAGCGATCGTGGTTTTTGGGCTGATTACGTCGACGACGACGTTGATGGCGGCTGTGTCGACACCAATGGCAATGAGCTCTCGGTTACGCAGATTGATCAGATTATCAAGGCCCTTTTGGGCCAGCTGGATTCCCTTCGCCTGCTTCCGCCCACCAGGTATGTTCGTGATCAGGTCTCGGGTCTCCAGGATGAGGTGCAGCATCTCCGTGCACAGAAGTCCGACTTGCTTACCGTTCCCCAGAAGCGTGCGTTCTATAAGCAGCGCCATCACTGGGCCAGTAAGAAGTTTGACAAGATCTCTAGCCAGATCCGTGAGTTCGATCGTAAGATCCTGGACCTTCAGAGCGAAAGGGACGCCCTCTGCTCTCGTCAGGAGCGGGTCGCCCAGGATATGGCTATGTGGCAGTCTAAGTTGCAGGATCTCCCGTCGAGCGAGCCAGTCCCTGAGGGCTTCACGCCTCCAGATCTATCAGCCGTGGCGGACGTTTTCGCAGCTTCCCAGGCAGTGCAGAGAGACAAGAAGCTTGCTCAGGCGTTGCGGGACCTCCAGGGTATCGTTATGTCTGGCTATGCTCCTGTTGGTGTTGCCAGTGAACCTCGGTCCCAGTCTGAGGAGCCCAGGATGTCTGTCGACCAGCAAGGTTCCCCAACACGTGTTGCAAGGGCTTCTCCCCGTTCCTCTTCCTCACTGCCGCCTGCGCCGAAACGTCCTGCTCATGCCCCTGATGCTGCAGTTGATCAGTCGGGACAGTCAGGAAGGTTTTCGCCGTCGGCTGCCGCCACCTCTGGCCTCGCCGACACCCCAGCAGTGGTGGAGGGCTCCAATCCCAAGGGCCCGTCTGACCTTTAACACATCGGAGACCCCGCCCGACAAGTCAGCCTTCGGACAGAAGCCGCGTCGGGACTGGGTCATCGTGACTGTGAACGTTACCTCCTGGTCTACTGCCGATATTTTCCTGGAGGCTTATTCTGATCGGTTTGATGCTGTTGGTTTTCAAGAACTCTGTCGTACAGAAGAAGCTATCGAGTTCGCAGTCAACCGTGCTCACAAGCATGGGTTCCATGCGCACCTGCACCCCTCAGTTAGTACTCAGAAAGGCGGATTGAGTTCAGGAGTGGGCCTTGTCTCGCAGTATGCCAGGTCTTTCTCTGAACTTGTATTGGATCCGATTGTTGTCATGCCCCCTCCAGAGAGATTTATCCTGAAGCTATGGCATGGGGTCGTGGATTCAGGTATCCCTTGGGCCAATGTCTATTTGCATACGGGGGAAGGCGCCGAGGATCGCAATGCCCAGCTACTGATGCAGGTGGCAGCAGTCATGAAGACCATATCCACCCCCTCTGTCATATCAGGGGACTGGAACATGTCCCCCAAGGACTTGCAGAATACGGACTTCTTAACGCTCATAGGTGGGGTCATTGTTGCGCCAGATCGCCATACCTATGAGTCTGCGGGTGCCCAGCCGTTGATTGACTACTTTGTGGTTCACCCCTTGCTCTCGGCAGCAGTTAAGTGTGAGGTCTGGGGCCCCCCCCCCTGATCCCCAAGCACCAGCCTGTCGCTCTTACCCTTCGTGGAAATCTCCACTCTGATTTGGTATCGGTTTTTCGGCGCCCGCCACATATCCCTGTTATCCGTCCAGTGGGTTGTTCAAACTGCCCGCCTTCCTGGGATGCCTTTCCTGATCCTGACGCAGTCAGTTCGGTGGAAGATTTGGAGCGCCTTACCTCTTCTTGGCTGAAGACGTCTGCCCAGGAGTTGCTTGCCCTTTTCCAGTTGCCAGATCCGCAGGATTACACCAAGTGGGGTGAGCCTCCCTCGACCATCCAGATTTCGGTTTCCAGACTGTTTCCTGGAGGTGTGCTTTCGTCATGCGAAGGAAGGCTCTGGAGGTATCTCTCTAGCCGTCTTGGTACTCTTCTATATCTTGCTGACAAGCAGCTGTGGCCCGCATATCGGAGAGCCTGCCAAGCCCTGCGCCGATATCGTCCTTCGCAGCGTGATGGTGGTCCTCCCCCCGATTGGTCGTGGTTGGGGTATTATGCCAACAGGCTTGATGCCCTAGATCTTGGTTCCATAGATTGGCTGCGGGGCGTCTTGGCTGAGTCCGCATCTGCTCTGGAACGTGCAGCATCGGCGCAGAGGTACCAATCCTGGACATCATGGGCCATTCGATCTGTCCAGGAAGGGGTTCTGCTGCGCACCGATTCGTCAAGGGATCTATGGATTGGGCTTCCTTTGACAAGACCACCCCGAACCCAGATGCCCCAGTCGGTACGCCGCAGCATCATCTTAAGGCGCGAGAAGTAGCTTGGCATGCTTTCTGGGAGCCCATGCAGGAGCACCGTGACGATCCTTGCCGAGCCCTGGATTTCCCGCCGTTGCCGCCCGACTGCCTTGCATCCCTGCCTCACCCGTCCCTGGACAAGTACAGACAGATGTGTCGCAAGTACAAAGCTCGTACGTCGGTGGGATTGGACTCTATGCATCCACGTCACCATGCGCAGCTCTCCGGCTCGTCTCTCCTTGCCCTGTTTGGTATCTGGCGTGCTGTTCTGCGATTGGGTAGATTCCCTCCCATTCTCGCTGTTTTCAGCATGAATTTGATCCCGAAAGCTGATGGTGGCGAGCGTACGGTTGCCCTGTTCACGACGTGTGTGCGCACGTTCTCTCGGTTCTTCAGGCACACGTATGGTGCTATGTGGGCGCGATTGCATCCTCGTCCGTACGTGTATGGTGTGCGCGGTCATTCCTGCCAAGCATGTGTGTGGCGCATGGGCGTGCTCACGGAGTTAGCATCTGCCAAAGGTTTGTCTGTGTTTGCACTCTTGCTCGACATCCAGAAGGCATTTGAACAGGTTCGCCACAAACTTCTCATAAGACGTGCTAGTGAGTTTGGGATTCATCCAGCACTCTTGAGGGTTTTCCTGTCTCTGTATCGTTCCCCACGTGTTGTCACGTTGCGGCGAATTGTTGGGGAGTGGGTCAGAGCTAGCAAGACTATTGTAGCAGGTTGCTCTTTTGCCGACCTGTTTATGCGTATTTTATTGATGCCCGAATTGGATTCGTTTCGTCAGTCGTATCCAAATATGCACCTTGGCCTCGTCGCCGACGACGTCCAGGTCCTGGGGATAGGCTCGGAGAGGGAGTTGCTCAAAATCGGTCCCGATGCGTCGCACCTTCTGATGAGCAAGCTTACTTTCTCGGCATGTTTACCGCTCTCCGAGAAGAAAATCGTGCTCTTGGCTACTGACCCCCAGTTGGCTCAGAGCATTGCAGCTGAAACTCCACGTCTCGCTGGTGCAGTCAAGTTCTCGTGTCGAGACCTCGGGATTGACTATCAATTACGTCAGGGGCGTCGTTCTCGTCCTGTTCTTACTGGCCGATTGAAAAAGGCCAGGTTTAAGGCCCGACGCCTATTGAAGATAAAGAAGGCTGGTGCAAAGGTTGCAGGTATTGTAAACACTAACTTGCGGCCCACTGTCATGTGCGGCATTGACGTCGTCGGACTATCCACTCACCAGATTCGTCAGGTCCGTGCTATATACCACGCTTGTCTCGGCACAGGTAAGCGTAGGTCTGTCACGATGGATTTGGCGTTGCATCGTGTTA